ACCTACCCTTCACGCTGGCCCAATGCGGATTGGCGGGTATTAACGACTACAAATGCAGCCGGGACCAACGGCTTAACGTGCCTTCCGAAGTACGTAGTGGTAGCTCGAGATAATAATTTTTTGGTCACCCATCCCGTGATGGCAACTTTCGCAAGGGTCGGTCACGGGATGAGGTGGTTCATGGCCCATACTCTTTAAGCATCAATAAGGAAGGTCTGAGCCCAGGGCCTGATTAGCCCTTAGGCTGTAGCCTAGGGAGCCCCCCTAATGGGGGCGCTGAAATCTCACCTTCGCAAATACAATCTAATAACATTTTAAATTGGTAAAAAGACAAAAACTAAAACTAAATGCATTGCAAACTGAAAAAGTTACCAAAACCTAATAAATATTTTGCAATTTTAAATTTCGCGCGCTTAACCAATGTGAATTTTCACCTCTCGTTCGAGAAGTAATATATTTTTTTTAACGATGTATCTCACCAAATGCAGTGGCCAAAGGCCATTTTCAGCCCTAAAAAGATTAAAAAATTACTGGCGCTTTATATAGATTATAATTTGGAGCTTTATATAGAAAATAATATTTTAATGGATATTTACTGGCAAAAGATAATAGAAAATTTATTTATTTAACTTTAAATTATTGCTATTTATTATATTTAATCAATTTTGCATTGACAAATTATAGTACAGTATATAACTATTCTATAATACTATATATATATATTATTCCTATTTTTATTAATTATATAAATTGTAGCATTTGCTAAGATGAGTTGAGTTTCATTCCAATTATTAGTAGATGTGAACAACGTAAAGCACACGTAACCATAGGTGACGGGACGCGTCTTCTTAATTAGCCTAGGGTGGTCAGATATCCTGCAGTGGGGAAGCAAAAAGGCTGATGATGATAAGGGTGCCGGTTTTGTATAATTTGAAGTGCTGTGACTGTACCTACTTACTTAGAAAGTATATAAAATAGTTTTTATCTCGAAAATCATCCCTCAAACGAGTACCGATTCAGTCTAATATGACAAGAAAACTTTCACGAATGACGACTATAAATATATTTATGAAGTATATTTGTATGTTGATATATATTTTCTCATATAATCTATCCGCTATATAGTTCAGAATTATCTGATTACAAGTGTCGCAACAACGTTTCTACGGACATTACGCTGCAATTTACTCGCCGCATTACAGAAGTTCCTAACAAAGATAAACTTGAAACTTTCACTGTAACCGGTTACGCATGTATTGTAATTCAGACTCATTTAAATGGAATGCGACATTGAACTTTATTTTGAATTTCGCATTGTGAATGCAAAATTTATCAAATATAATGAAATTTACTTGTTATGAATTAAGAGTTGGAAATAAATTTTAATTCTTAATCATAACCAAAAGACAAAAGTTATTCTAAAGAAAACTTTTTTAAAGTTTTTGCGTTAGAAAAATGATAAGGTTATGATTACTAATTTATTCAGTCGCAAATAATACCATCACTGGCTGCAGAATATATTCCTAATTTTTCCTAATTGTCTGCTGATAAATGACGAAGGAAAGCACACCCAACAGCAATGCCCCAAAAGTCTGATTTAAACATATTAATGACCTCATAATTCTGTATCGTACCATCAAGGACAAGATCGTATATATACGTATCTCTGATTGCCAGAGCTAGTACAGACATTCTCATCGACCGTTTGATGCGTTCTTTAAGAATGTATGAAAGAATTATTTAGTATCGCTCATAAGCTAAGCCCTGTGCCGGAACCGAGGCTTTATAGTGACTTTACTGATATTTTCTCATTCACGACCCTTAGAAAATTAAGCAAAATATCAATGCCAAGCATTAGTAAAGAAAAAAATAGCAATAAATTTCAAACATTTTATTTTTTATATTTTTAGATATATTTTTTTACCATAAATAGCTTCTTTTTTGTTCATATGCCCCTAAAAGAATTTGATTACTTTGTCGATATATTTGTTTGATTGTTTTATTTTTCTCATATTTAAAAATCTTATAATATCTGGTCATCATTTTAACTGGTGATTTCTATTCTAGTTGTTTAAAATTGATTTTAGATATAACAACCCACATCAATTATTCATATTAAAATAACACTTTAATCACTATTGTACCGTTACAATGAAGCAATTCGTTAATGCCAGGAAAAGGATTTAATTTTTAGAAAGCTGTTTTTGTAATTAACCACGCAATATAAAAGATAATTGTCTTATGTGAACGGCACCTGTGTCGAACAGATATTAATATCTCAATAAATAAAGCTATAGTTACATACGATTAGTTATACTCAGTTATAATCGACTGACGATTGTGCATCGACTTTTTGTAGTGAACTTTTTTTAGTATTGCATTAATAACAAAAGACGGTTAAATAATTGTAGGTACAATTATTTAGAATTACAAGGTAAAATTTGGTTAAATAATTGTAGGTTAATTGGAAACCTTTAATCTATGTATATATTTATTTTTCGGTAAAATAATAGCGACAATATTTTATAGAACGAAATACAATAGAGCGCATAGTGTATTTTATTGAGCGCGAGCGCATTAAGAATTTTGAATGGAATCGGGTACAGCGCCCTAGCGGTAACTATCATGAACTACATGCTTGAAAGATTTAAAACTTAGAATAACATGTATTATTGTCATCTAAACAAACTTGTATAAAAAACTTTATCGGTTAGGATCACTGCATCAAAATGTAGTTACAAGAATTTAGTTATACCGGCACCTACAGTATTTTACATTGCGAGTTAATAAAAGGCTTTTAACACAACCCACTTGACAACGTTTACTCATAAACATTAGTAATTAAGCAATTTAATCAATTCCACTAGCATTTTAATCACGGATTCAACTAGTATAATCTCAGTATTTTGAGTGGATGCTCAATAATGTATCCTAGCGATTGCGGTTTGCGATTGCTCATGTTGATCAAGAAGATAAATAATTAACAAATCCGATGGCCAGGATCTATCGATCAATTATTTTCATTAACTTTAAGCTTCTTACGAAAGACACGTGCAACTTTGTATATCGAAAGTCATTGCAGTGATATAGGTAACTAATTTTCCGCCAACGACTTGGTTCTATATTTTACATAAAATATTCCTCTTGAATAACTCTGTACATCGAAGATTACTCTAAGCGATAGATTAGGCTATCTCCTTTCCCCCATTTCTACATATTAACAGAAGAAATGTCTGCCAGTTTTGTTTGAGCTATATTAATATAGCTCAGACAAAGATCGCAGACATGTCTGCATGTAATCGTTCACGATCAACCATGAACTTTCCTGATGAACTATAATTTCGAAATTGATAATTAAAAATATATACATAAATACTAAAGTAAAAAAAGAACATGCATTACACAAAAAATAGAAAACAATGCATAGCTAGATAAGTTACACCAGTTAAAATCTGATATAGTGAACAGCCCAAAATGGTCCCCTAGATTTATTTTGTGCATTTTGGATTCGATTACAAAATATACAAAAATATTAAAATGAATCCATTTTAAATCCAATATGGCGGACTGCCCAAGGTGGCGGACTGATACACTCATAATAACAATAATAAATGTGAGAAAGCTGAGAAAATTACGATTAAATTATTAAAAATAAAATATGTCTATGATTTATTCAAAAGAAGTAAAAAACAAAATATAAGCTTTTAAACAAATTCAACATATCTTTATGTATATGTAACTAAATTAAAGGATTCCTCTATTATTTTCCAATGTTTCTATAAAATATAATTGTTTTATCCCTAAATACTTATTATATATTTATTGAACTTTAAACTCCTGGTTTGGTAAACGCCTGGAGGTCTTCTGAAACATGTATGATAAGTGCTTAAAAGGGGACTTCAATAATCTATTGTAAATTGTAGACTTATTAATTTATTTTTAATTTCATCTTGGCATATCCTACTCTGCGGGAGAGAATTTGATAAAACACAAACATTTCAATAAATAATTTTGCTATCATTTCATATTCAATTTGACGTATGACCTATTTAAAAAAGCTGAATCACTTATTTATCCAATTAAATGTATTTAGTATTAAAAACAACCATGTCCATATAAAACGGGAAAACGTACATATAAACAATATAAACATTTTAATTTATGAAAAATCATATTACTTATATATAAAGCCAGCAAATGTCGCTGAAAAATATTGTCACTGTTTTTAGTTCTTAAAACATTTAATTTTTCGTTACAATATTTTTCTTATTTAACTGATAATAACGAGTCCATTACATCATTTTATGAAACCTTGATTTTGCATTCGAACTTTTTACGAAATTAATTCGTTTTTCTTTCTTTTTTATTCAGCAACTGGCCAATGTGTAGGTAATTAAATAGTTTTATAAATACACAAATGAAGGCCGATGACTTTTTAAAAGGCAAAAAATGATTTATTTTTAATCTCAACCTTAGTCACTCTTCTGCACAACATTCAAAGAGCACAAATATAGAAAATATCAATAATACCATATTAATGAATAACAAAACTACAATTAAAAAATGATAAAATAAATCATATTTGTAAGTTTCACTGTAACCTATGTACATATTTTGTTTATACAGTCTCGAAGTCGATGTCAAGTGCAGCACATTAATATAGAAGTGTAATAATATGAAACCTAGTTCAATAGATAATAACGGCTTTATTTCATCAATGCTCTCTGATATCACAGCGCTTTAAAGTTATTTTTAACTGACTAGTGTAGATGGTTGTCTGTGCCCCAACAATGAGCTGTTGATGGTTATATAATAGTATAGTACAAGCGAAACTTCAATTACCTTCCCGCTACACAATAAATATAATTGTGAGTGGTCGTGTATAGGTAATAAAACACGATCCACCGTAATAAATTTTCAGTACCTAATAGATTTTTCCCGGTACATTTTTAATAAAATAGCTGCATTATATATAAATGATTCATATTTTCTGATTTCAGGCGAACTGGTTCAAAGCGCAGCAATACTGTCGCTTTCACGGGATGCATCTCGCGTCCATCTCTTCGCAACAGGAGAACGATAAATTAGAACAATACGTCAAAGATTCAGGTAAAAATAACTATGGAACACATAGTTTTTGTAAACTAATACATATAGTAATAATAATACTTACTTATTTTTTTTCTCGTGTATGTTGTTGTTTTATATATAAACTAATACATGACAGGAAAGTTTTTTATTGGTACTTACTTACTTGGTGATATCCGAAAAAAAGTAGCTCTCATTTTCTCATTAGAAGTATAAAATACCGAATATCCTGAATGAAGTCTACCTTAAACTAATCATTCTATCGTTAATTACTCACTTTATTTTAGATTCTAGTAGTCAGAAAAACCACCCGCGGATCTGACCTAGAAATCTTTTTCCAGAACTCATGGTTTCCCTATTTATAGAAAAATGTGAAAATTAATATATTGTCACGTTGGCTATAAAAAAGGAATCAGTAATGAATATTCTAGCTAGAGCTATATTTTAATTATTACAATAATTTTAATGATTAGTAAGAAAATTAGAATTTCAATACCCACAAAAACCCATTTAGAAAGCGAATGTTATAACTTACTAGCCAATATTTTTGTGTTACATATGTAAGTATATAAAGATGGACTACCCTACAGGGTCATAAGTTCGAGATCTTGGGACATAAATAATTTAACGGCAAATGCAATAAAACAACTACATTTAAAGAAATTTCTAGTCGTTAAATTTAACTTTTTTGTTAATGTTTGAATATTTCTTATTTGTTTTCTTTACAATTTTTTTTGTATATTTTAATGTCAAAAAAGTTACATTATAAATGTTACATAATAAATTTTTGTCTATTTTAATGTCAAAACAGTTACATTATAAATGCCAAGGATTAAAGTAAAAAATTAAATTCATATATCAGAATATAAAATTCTTTGCAAGTAATTTTAATTTTGAAGGCCAAATACACAAAGTTGAGTATAGTAGCTAGCACTGTATAAATCACTAATCACGCCTATTGAAGGATCCATAATGGTTCATAAGAGCAGTGGGTTAATTATGGGTTTAAATGCGGCTGAATGAACGTTTCACTATTTTTTCGTGTCCTTTCTTTAAATCGTAACGAACGAATTCAACATTAACTTCAACCATGAGTAGCATAGATTAAAAATCTTAGGCTCTATACTTAGTGTAACAAAATAGTTATTTATTAATACGTTTTAAGGAAGTATTCAAAAATAAAATGAAAATTTACCTACCTATTATAAAATGGTAGCACTGAAGATAATTGGCTTACTGTAATTTTGTTTCTATCCTAATCAATGACCAGCATTGACAGTTTTATTTAGTACCGAATATGAAATACCTGTAATATCGTTGAATTCAGGAGTATATCCCATGATTGTGTCAAACGGAAGTCGATGAATGCATGTGCGACAAACCGTAATGGTTCAGATACACTGCGCTGCGGTAAACATGTGAGTTGCGGGCGATTTCTGTGACGCGCTTTCATTGGTCGCTCTTTCTTTATTAACGATTTAGATGAACCCACAGAGGTCACCCGCGCATCGCGTGCTATCTCCGAGGATCATTGTAACTGAGCCATAATAATGTGAATCAATCTGGCCAACACAGTGCTCGACTAAAATGATTTTTGCGACATTGGCACTAGTCAATGTAAGAAGATTAATTGTGTAAAATTATAATTAATTGTATGTGGGTATTAACGACTGCAGGCAGATGTATAATTACTGTTATTTCTTGTTAATGTTATTCATTAATGTAAAAAATAATATTCTTAACTACCTAAGTATATGTTTTGTATCGATCACATCATATAATAAATTAATAGTTAATCATAGATATTATAATACCTTAAATATTGTTTCCTATTTCAGGTTATGGCCGCGAACACTTTTGGACTTCAGGCACCGATTTAGCAGAAGAAGGCAACTTCTTCTGGATGGCAAACGGAAGACCGCTGACCTTCGTCAACTGGAATGCCGGGGAACCGAACAATTTCCGATACGAGAATGGCGAAGAAGAGAACTGCTTAGAACTGTGGAACAGAGACGACAAGGGTCTCAAATGGAACGACTCCCCTTGCTCATTCGAAACTTATTTCATTTGCGAAGTCAGATCCGATTGATGACTTCCGCATAAAACCTTTAAGTTCTGAAACCAAATTTTAAATTCCGAATCGCTATTATAACTTCATTTTTATTTTTAATTTCCAATTTCGTATTCCAACTAAGGTTTTATAGCACAATGAAAATAATCGTGCTCGTTACCTGATGTGCATAAAATTTACAAAAGATTAAAATTTAAGTAAATTATAGTTATCTCGAAGATACTCAAAAACATGATTTTTAATACTTTGAAAAAGTAGACGAAATTAGACCGTATCATTACGATTTCAATTTGAAAATTCAATAGAAAACATTCTGAAGAGCGAAAACACATATGAAACAAAAACACTAAACTGTATTAAACCCACCAAAAAAAAATTATTTCACACAAAATTCGGTCAATATATGAATTTTTCCCTGAATAATTTTGATCCAGTTTGATTGATGCCTTTCTTTAATTTGTAAATACCAAAATTCATTGAAGGACTGAAATTCTAAAGCTAATTTTTTAACAATTTATTTTCATATAATGACAAAATATGTGTTTATTAATGCATTCATGCATATTTGATGTTACTGGAAGCAAAATTATTATAATACTTGAATTTCAATCCTTCGATCTCCTGACATTTAAGGGTATTAATATCTATATTTACTATTCCAAATCTTTTATAATGTGACGAATAACTTTTCAAACACCAAGCGATGTAGTTTCACGTAAATTTTAAGAAAAAGAAATGTAAAAAAATCTTTTTTGTGTGTCGAAATATGACCCTGTGTGAATAGTGATTTTAATAATTATCATTGTAAAAGTGGGTATACACTCGAGCATTTACTTATCACGGAACTATAAAGAGAACGACGAAATAGTTTACAATATATTGATATTAAGAGCCTTGGGGGAGTAGAACAGCCGGCAAGAAACTTTAAGAAAAGCAGCCCTTACCAAGTTCCCTCAGATTTTCATTTTTAAACGAAACCAACAAAATGATTATTTTATATTATTATATGAAAATGCTCTTTTGAGCTTTGATTTTATAGTACCATCCATTATTATTAAATCGAAATACTCGAGCGAATACCCTAGTCTGTACTCACCTTAGTCTAATATTAACGAGAGTTTGATTGGTCAGTACACGGTGTAGAATTAATATTATATTTATTATTTGTATAGCATTCCATTTGTAAAAAACAACCTTTATTATTAAGAAACAACGATCACTGCCTATGATCCTAAGTTGAACCTCCGAACCGTATACGGTTCAAAGGACATGAATGTCCATAGTCAAACATAGTAGGTAAATAAATGTAGTTACCTTAGCTAAGTGTTTAAGTAGCTGTAAGATCGGTTAATACATTATTATGGAAAAAAATATGTTTCATTTTTAACTAAAATTGTGTTTCATAAACAAAAAAGCTATATGATTTTTGGTTCCTGATTAAAGACCAGTGTCAAATCCGTGGTACCTTTTTTACTGAGTGATTACTTACAAGCTGATTAGTTCTGATGTTGTGAGAAATATACTTCCACAGATTTAGAATAGAATAGATTAATCGTTTATTGACAACCGAACATTTAAAAATAATATAAATAAAAATTAAGTATAAAAAATTATAGCTCCTAAACGTAAGAACACTTCTCAGGAATCGAACACTTAAGGAAAATCCTTACCCATCAAAGAATCAATTAATAATACTCAATTATCTTTGTTTTATTTGAGAATTATAAAAATGAGGGTATAATTCAAAATAAACTGCAGGACATATTTCTTATGCTAACCTGGACGTGCTGCGTGTAATAGAAAAAAAAATAGGATTTAAACAGTAGTTTCAAGGCAGCCTCATCGCTTATTACAAAAAAATTGATAGTTAACAGATTTCAAAAATTGTAAATGTATTTAAATTCTAAAATATATTTATTTTAATAAGCTTTTTTTCCGGTGACTTTACCGGCGTCATCTCATCTGTCATATGAGTGTGGTCAAGCATTCCTTAGATGAAAAAACAATTGATGACCTCCGTGGTGGAGTGGCTCACACGCTAGTTTAAAAATGTCCCCTTTTTAAATGTTCTTGATGTGCGGAGTTCGATTCTCGTTCGGGTCAAAATAGTCAATGAACTTTTCTCTATATATCGGACATGGGTGTTAAAATACCTCCGTTGAATTAAATAATGCAAGGGCTTTGGTGTTTTACTTAAAGTACTTGCATTTTTTTATTACCAGTTTATTACTGAAACGAAAATAAATGTGAGTACGTCCACATTTCGTGTGACTTTAGAACATTAGTTGGCAGCCCGCCTGTTTTCCACTACTGAAGTATTTACGAGTCAGGTGAACGACCCTTTATTTACATCTACTGTTGTACTAAAGTGCTAGCTATACTGATTGTCGAATTTCAAAATTTATAGCGATCCCTTTCAAAGACCTAGAGATTGTGCTAGCGTTTGGGGGTATTATGTGACGTTTGAAGTCTCAATCACTTTCGAAACAAATTATTGAATGATCAAGAAACATTATAAAAACTTAGCTCAGCCCGTCGAAAGATTGCACTTAGCATTCGACTCTATCATTTGGCACATCTCAATAGCTTTCCAGTTTTAAAATTAGATCCCTGATCAAGCAACTATACCTACGAGCCCAGGAGTGATATTCTATTAAAAAAAACAATCTTAGAGTCTCCGTAGAGGTTCAATTAAATAAAACCTACTTGAAAAGGTGATGAACATTTAATTGCATTCAAGCTTTATGCCGTGCGTCGTGATAAACTCGAGATTGATTTCATTACACATATCAACAATCTAAAACAATATCAACAGTATTCCTATGAACCTAAATCAATAGTGTTATTTGAAGATTTCCTCTCTATTTTTTATTTATATAAAAATGGTTTCTCCATAAAAATCTAGCTTTTATTTTTATTTAAAGAAAATGTTAGTCTTAGTAGTTTAACCATTCTCGATTTTTGCCTTTAGCTGCAGATTCGCCAAAGGAAAAGGAAGAAACACAAATTACTGTTTTTCTTCCTTTTTCTTTGTGTTGTGGGGCTGTGCATCAACAGATATTCGTGGTTCAACTCTTTTACATGTTATTAATGATAACAATTTATGTATCTTAAATGATGGTACAGTACTGGGTCTCATAACTGGCATCCTAATGCATTAGATTTAACCAGAGATGTGACTTATCTTAGATACAAGTATTTGAAATACAGATACAAGATACAAAATACGTATTTTCATCTTGTATCTAAAATACTTTTTTTAGGAAGTATTTTGTATCTTGTATTTGAATACTTTTGTTTAGTATCTTAGTATCTTTTAAATACTTTTTCTGATAAAATACTTTATAAAAAGATTATTTCTTACATTTTATAAATATCACAAAACATTCTTTGCCTAAAACATACATATTTACAAAAAGAAAGTGTTCAATTATCAACGCAATGAATATTTAGTTAAAAATAACTCGAATCCGAACACCCGTTATTGGTTTGCCCGTTATTGGTTTACGAAAAGGTTGCTGTTTGGTGGTCTAACGCGGATGTATTTCATTATAGCTTCTTACCAACAGGACGAGCATTACTGCAGATTTACTGTGTGTATTGTGAAGAACTGAACACAATGACGGAGAAGCTGGCACAACTCCAACCAGGTTTTGTCAATCGTTCGGTTCTACTGCTCCTGCACGACCACGTACGACCTCATACTACACAATTGGCGGTACCCAAGCTACAAGAGCTGGGGTTTGAAGTTCTCCGTCATTCGCCGTACTTAACAGACCATGCGCCTACAGACTTCTAATTCTTCCAGAATTTGGATAACGTCTTAGCGGAAAAAAAATAAATTCCCGAGAGGCAGTACAAAATGCCTTTGAAATATTTGTTGCCTCCCGTCCAGCTGATTTCTTCAAGAAGGCATCATTAAGCTACCAATGCGTTGGCAAAGATGTATTGATTGCATGGGGATTACTTTGATTAATAGAAATAAGAAAATAAAGCTTCATTTATTTTATTAAATAAAGACTTAATTAATACTTCAAATCCGGTTGAGACCGGATTTATCCGATCAGATGGTAACTAATGGCGCATTACCAACAGTACCAGCAATACCAACTCTACGTCTTTTTAGGTACATCTACGTATTATAAGCCTTTCCTACAAACCAACGTACTATAATCAACCACAGAAGCTAAGTATTTTCTACTAAAAATTTTCAAATTAGCTTAACACACTAAAGGGGCATAATTTTCGGTAGTTCTGCAAAAAAGTTAATATACGTTCCGTTACATACTATCGCACATTCACCTCGTCACAAGTCACGCCATTAATTTTTAAAACCAAGTACTGTATTTATTTTTACCCACTCTCTTCATCTCACTAGGAAAAAATGAATTTTCAGTTCTCCGTAATTTTACGTCGTACGTAAAACCAGCTTTTTAAATAAATAATAATTTTATAATTAAATTTAAATAATTATTCTTGTTGTTATACTTCAGCAATTTTTCATTCACAATGCTATATTGAAAAAAAAATATATTATTAAAAAGGAACTAAAAAATTTAAAATAATTTAAACCTGATGTATTAAACATTTGCATTTTTATATGTTACATTGTGATTGACAAACAAATAACACGGAGGAAAAGTGGGTGAAATTTAGCTTGTAAGATTTGAGTACAAACACAGAAAACTAAATAAAAGCTTACAAAAATTGTTTCTAATGAAAAATGCTTAAAAAATCCACTTTGTCCCTGGAACCATCTGGTCTAAGATTTAGGTTTTTGTGGTCTTTAATAAACAAACTTAAATTCAAATCTTTTTTTAGAAAAGTATTTGTATTTATAAAAAGTATCTATAAGATACCTATTTTGTATCTAGTATTTCAAATACTTTTCTCGAAAGTATTTCGTATCTGGTATCTGAAATACTTTATTTAAAAGTATTTTGTATCTTGTATTCCAGATACTTTGTACAGGGTATTTTGTACATCTCTGGATTTAACCTTAGTTTCACCTGATTTAGCACTACGATGTAATTGGCAGGTACATGACGACTGCCTATGTAGTTACCACTTGCCTGTTATTACATAATAATAATAATAGTGTAAATTATAGTAGGTAATAATAATGATAGTGTAAATGATATAAACCTAATTATAAAACTGTGAACTGGAAAAATATATGCATTTAACTGATATCAAATTTAGAGATGTTAATTTTGATACAACTAATCCATACGGGTGTTATGATCAGCTTTCCAAAATATTGCTAAACAATATCCTTCTGAATAAAATTATATACTGTTTAAACAAAAACAAGCACAGAAAAAATTAAGAAAGAAAGGAAAAAAGCATGGATAGAATTATGTAAAACTTTATCATTGATTTGGGCTAATATAAGAAAATTAAAAAAACCATACAGGCCTACTTTTAATTTAAATACAAACAATTGGATGTCCTTTTAGATAAGTACACCTCTAACACTCAATCTCCACCATTAAAATTCTTTTCTGATCACTGCCTTGATAATGATTTTTTTTTATGAATCCATTCACTTTAATAGAATTATTAAGCGCCATAAATCCCCACAGAGAGACTTTTGGTTTAGATCACATCTCACACAAAATGTTTAAAACCATTAGTCCTTTCAATTACAAAATAGTTTTGCAAATCTATAATTCACTATGGGAAAAGTCAATTATTCCTAAATCGTGGAAAGTCGATTGTTTGGTCCCCATTCTAAAGATAAAGATGACCATAACTCCTATATACCTATAGCTCTAACATCTTGTGCAGCAAAACTTTTCAAACAGTTGATAAACAAAGATTAGAATACTTTATGGAATACAATTATTTATTGCCTTATAATCGGTTTGGCTTTAGTAGAGGTCGTTCGGTCGTCGTAAGTTTCTTGTGTGTTTCATCTTTGATATCATAGGCGCCTTCAATAATGTCGACCATCGTATTTTAGTAGAAGAATTTTATTCTCTCCAGTTACCTGTGAAATTAGTGAAATGGATCTTAATTTTTTTATGTTTGTTGGAGGTTTATGTTAAATTTCAAAATTATTTGTTTGGACCACAAATGTCTAATAAAAGAGTTTGCCAAGGATACTCAGCCCATTGTTATTTATTCTGTATATACACAACTTAAATAGTATATAAGGAAATTATATAAATAGTTTGCAATATGCTGATAATCTCATAGTTTACTGTACTGGCACAAAGATGTCTCAAGTGGAAAAAAGACTTAACCATGCGTTAAAAAAAGTATGTATATATCTGAAATTAGATATTAATGTCACTCAAACCAATGTTGTAGTATTCAGCAAAAAGAAAATGTTACTCACCAATATCATATATGATGGCAATCCACTTCCCGTAAGTAATGATGCTAAGTTAGTTCCTCGGCATCATATTCACTAAGAACCTATCATGAAATAAACATATAGCTGACTTAGGAGACAAATCATTAAGAGTTTTTAACATCTTAAAGTCCTTAGCTCGAACTTATTGAGGAGCTGATCCAAAAATCTTACTTATGCTGTATAAATCCATTGTCCGTTCCCGTTTCGAATATAGCTTACTATGCTACACATCTCACCCTTTTCTTGTTCAAAAATTAGAGAAGATTCAAAATAAAAATTTAAGACTTATCACAGGAGCAATGAATACTACTCCTATTATATCTATGCAATTAGGGTGCAATATTTCTTCATTACTTTTATGATTCAAATATTTAAAATATCAATTCACCCTTAAAGCTTAAAATTCACCGTATAAATAATCACCGTTTAGTAGATAAAT